TTTTTTAATATTAGAGAACTAAGGTTCTCGCAGTAGTAAATAGTGGAGAAATGAGTGTTCTTTGAATGTCATATGATAAACAAACAGTAACTAATCATGCTTTTTTAATAAGTATTTCTCTTGCATAAAAATTTAAATTGATTTATTACGACAAGACAAAGTAAATTTTAGAACTTCATTATTAGAGACATAATTTACTTATAATGAGTGGGGTTAAAAAATATAGACTAGAAAATTAATAAGTCACATGTAATTTTGTTTTTCATTGTATAAATTCTTGTCTTAAAAAACACATTATACTTTTAAACATTGCATTTTTTGTATTACCAAGTCATACTTGATAGTATCTAATATATAACTCCATTTTTTGGTCTTCAAACATTATACTCATTGTTCATCAATGATTATTTCAAAATTTTTAATTTTCCAAAAAACAACTGAATACACACTACTTCATTGTTGGAATTAGAAAAGGATGTAAAATTTAAGACTACACTATACTCACATTATTTACTCTAATACTTTAATTTTATACAATGTCTTGTTAATATACATGGGTATACAATTCAAACTAAAAACCCATCATGCTGACATGGGCATTGGATATGTATGAAATCTGATATCACAGTCCATACATGCAAAAATCATGTCATTCATCAGATTACCTTATTATGAATTTGGAATATATCAACCATGTCGATCAACTTTAAATGTTTTATACGCCTTAATGTTATTCCCAACATTTTTGGAATAAGAAATCACCCTACGTAGAACTCTAACTCATCTAATACTACGCATTTGGCACTGCTTATTGTTTTTTACCAAATTAGCTATTTATGTTGTCAATCTCTTTCAATCATACCCTTTATGTTGTCAATCTCTTTTATCTATCCCATTATCAATTGTTTCAATTCCTCTTTCAACTCTTATATCAAATTTGGACTCACATAATGTATACTTTGTGCATAGTGGCATAGTACTCTTTTTTTTATCAAATTCTTTCTTCAATCAATTAAATGTAGTTTTGAATAAATATATATAATAAAAATACGATATATCAAAATTATATCATAAAAATATGCCAATTATAAAATAAGAATTATATATTAAAAAACTACATAAAAATTTTATAAATAAGTGGTGACAATGGGACTTACATATAAATCAAGAAAGACCAAAAAAAGCCAAGTCCATGTTTGGCCAGTGTGTTTTGGTGTAATAGATTATTCATGAAATCAGTCATACATTTTTGGGCAGTGTGGAATTCATAAATGAAAACAATCATATACATTTTGGGCAGTGTAGAATTCATACATGAAAACAGTGTGGAATTCATACATAAAAAGAGCTACACATTTTTTGGGCAGTGTGAAATTCATACATGAAAATAATCATACATTTTTTGACAGTGTAGAATTTATACATGGAATCACTGCCACATAAATCAATGGACATTACACTACAACATGAAATTAAGGAACACAATAATACAATTACACACTGCCGTAAAATATAATAACATATATCCATTCTACACTGCCACATTAAAAACTCACATATAAAAATCACACTGCCCACTACACAATTACGAGTGAACAATCACATTGCCCAAAACAATCATATTTTTTGGTAGTGCATAATGAACATTTGCTGTTTAATTAAAGGACAAAATTAGAATCACAAGTACGAAACATATAGCACTGTTATTTAGAGTATTTTAATGCTCTTAGAGTGCTATTTTGGTTTTTCTCCCTTTTGGAATTATTGTTAAGTAAACCTTGATCGGGCAATACAATCCACGCAACGCGCGTAAATATGCTAGTTATATATATATATATATATATATATATATATATATATATATATGATAGGATATATAGGATATAGAATATATAGGATACGATAGGATATTAATACATGACGCACATATATTATTGGGAGCTCAATTTTATGAGAAGAGGTGGAGCATCTAGTTGGTTAATTTTCTTGGTACAATGAAGCCATTGTTTGGAGCACTCGTAGTGGCGAGTCATTTGCCTCTCATGTCCTGCCACATCATATTTTTGTCTTGCTGAACATTGCATATCATTGCCTCTCACTTGCTTTCCATGGCATATGCAGACACACCATTGTTTTTTTCTTGATTTGTTTTGACAAATAGAAAGAAGTTTTTTGAAGACATTAGCTCTAATCCCTTGTTCCTAAAAATTGGTATATTTTGTTTTATTTATTAAGTTTGGACTACCTGCAATTGATATGAGTGAAGAAAAAGCTAGAGATTTAGGGCCTGTTTTTTAGAGCTTGAACTCTTAACTTCCAGTTTCTTCCAGTCCCTTCCAGTTCTTTCTAGTTTCTTCTGGTTTCTTCCAGTTTTTTCCAGTTCCTTCCAGATTTTTCTAGTTCTTTCTAATTTTTTCCAGTTCCTTCCAACTTTTTCCAGTTTTTTCCAGTTTCTTCTAATTTCTTTCAACTATATTTATTTTCTTCAAATTATTTCTACTTTCTGAAAAATCACTCTAAAAAATATTATTATTATTACAACTTTTTTTAATTACAACTTTTATGTTCATAACTATAGTTTATAAATTATTTTATTTTTTTATCTCACTATTTTTATGATTCACATTAATTCTTCCAGTTTCTTCAACTTTTTAATATGAATAATACAGTTTTTTTGTATATTAATCTACATGAAAAATTAGGAAACTATTTAAAAAATTATGGATAAATAGTTATATAGAATATTTTTTTAATCTAAATTTATATAAGGTAAATTACATTTAAGGGCCTGAAAGAATAATATTATGAAAACCAAGAGAAAACTACATTTTGAAAAAGAAAAAATGACCCAAGAAGTGTAATATTTATGCTAATTTTATATTCTAATTGTTTTTTTAAACTAGCTTTTTATATATGAAAAATAATACTCGTAATATTTTTTATCTTAAAGACAATCATTAAGATAACGTGATAACACCACCACCACCACCACCACCAACGACAACAACAAGAAGAAGAATAATAATAATAATAATAATAATAATAATAATAATAATAATAATTTATAACAACAAGAATCAGAATGAGAATAATATAAAATCACATATAAATGTTTTTTAAAAAGTTTTTTAAGATTTTTCAATTTTTTCCAGTTTTTCCAGTTTCTTTAAATTTTTTCCTGTTTTTCCAATTTCTTCAAGTTTCTTTCAGTTTCTTCCAGTTTCTTTCAGTTTCTTTCAGTTCCTTCCAGTTTCTTCGAGTTCTTTCCAGTTTCTTCCAGTTTCTTCGAGTTCTTTCCAGTTTCTTCCAGTTCCTTCCAATTTCTTCCAGTTTCTTCCAGTTCTTCCAGTTTCTTCCAGTTTCTTTCAGCTCTTTTTTTCCAGTCCTAAATAAGAGGCCCTAAGATTGTGAGAATTGGAAAATGTGATGTATTGAGAATGGGAAAATTGTGATATGTATTTATAATACTTTAGTGTAGCCCTATGATGTATATTAGGGTATAATATTGCATGATGTGCTGAAAATTTCCTCTATGTTCATGTGCAATCTTAAGCCCAAAACTGTGATACAATGTTTTTGCGGGAACACTGTAGCTTCTTCTTTTTGCTTTGTATATAGTAAGATGTTCGCATATATGGAGTATTTATTTATTAGTTTTGAAAGTGAAAAAGACAATTACTTTCGACAATTTTTTTATTATTTGTACCTTACTAAAAGTTTATGACTATAAGTAACGAATCATCACTATTTAATGGAGTAATACACTACTTAGAGCCTGTTCTTTATGACTTGAACTCTTATTTTCCAGTTTCTTCCATTTTCTTCCAGTTTCTTCCAGTTACTTCCAGTTTTTTCCAATTCCTTCCCATTTTTTCTAGTTTCTTCCAGTTTCTTCCAACTATTCTCATTTTCTTCAAACTCTTTTTACTCCCCAACCAATTACTCCAAAAATGATATATTTTTAATGTTATTATTATTATTATTATTGTTATTATCATTATTATTACAACTGCTATGATCATAACTATAGTTTATAAATTATTTTTTTCATCTCACTATTTTTACAATTCACACTCATTACTTTTTTCTTCAACTTTATAATATGAATAATACAATTTTTTGTATATTAATCTACATGATAAAACATGAAAACATCAATATGTTAAACTATATTAAAAAATTATAGATAAAATAGTGACATAGAATGTTTTATTAATTTAATTTTATATAATACCTCTCACCTTTCCCTTTATTACTTCAAATTTGCTCATTTTTCTAATTTTTATAAAAAAAGTTGCAAGTCAAAATAGTTTAGAGAAAAAACTAAAATAGGAGTAAAACATAAATAATGTAAAAAAACGTTCTATGTCTTTATTCCAAAAATAGGACTTCTATGAAAATAAAATGTCAACCATGAAAGAGAAAATAGGTTTGATTACATCATGTCACATGTCTGATATTTAAAAAAAATCTAGTAATATATAAAGTATAATTACAAAAATATTATTTATAATAAATACTGCATAAATAAATTGAGGTGAAACGTAACTACAAAAACTTTTTAAAATTTAGTATTTTTATATTTATGCTAACTTTATATTATAATTATTTTTTACAAAAGAAGTTTTTTGTATTTGAAACATAACAATATATTTTTGTATCTTAAAGGAATTCATTAAGACAACGTGATGATGATAATTATGGTAATAATAATAATATAATAATAATAATAATATAATAAAAATAAGCTCTTAATAATCAGCTTAGTTCAGGACTGGAAAAAAAGAGTTGGATGTTGGAAGAAACTTGAAGGAACTGTAAGAACTGGAAGAAACTAGAAAAAACTAGAAGGAAGAGGGGTACAGAGGGTGGTGCTATGTTGGGAAGAGACTTGGATATCTCTATGATGGATGGTTCAAAAAACTTGCAAGCGGCGGGTTCTGGTTTCCAGGCCCGCCGGGGACAATGAGTATCCTAAGTTGGAACTGCCGTGGGTTGGGCAACCGGCGGACAGTTCAGGAGTTGGCAGACCTTGTGTCTGCAAAGAAGCCCGACTTTATTTTTATTTTGGAAACTAAAGGTGCGAGAGGAAATGCAGAAGAGTTGAAGGTCAAGATTGGTTTTGAGGGGCTCTTTGTTGTGGACAGTGTCGGTTTGAGTGGTGGGCTGACACTTCTATGGAAGGAGAATCGTACGGCTAATCTCATTAGCTACTCTAGATATCATATTGATATTGTTGTTTTTCTTCAGAATGCTGCACCTTGGAGATTCACTGGATTTTATGGTAACCCTAAAAGGGATCAGCGTGGCAGCTCTTGAGATCTTCTTCGGTCTCTTAAACATCATTCCTCGTTACCTTGGGCTGTTATGGGTGACTTTAATGATCTGTGTTCAGTTAGAGAGAAGAAGGGGGGCTGCCCTCATCCGATTTCGCTTATATCAGGGTTCAATCAAGCTCTTGAGGATTGCGGTCTTTTCGATTTAGGGATGATTGGTTATCCCTTCACTTGGGAACGAGGTCGTGGTTCGCATAACTGGGTTGAGGAACGACTTGATCGTGTCGTGGTCTCTAGGGCGTGGAGGTATTTGTTTACACAAGCCTGTGTGTTCAACAACTTCATGAGAACTTCTGATCATGCAGCGTTACATTTATGTCTTGACCGTGCGATTCGGGTGCACAAGGTTAGGAGATTTCGGTTTGAAAATGCTTGGATGCGTGATACTGGTTTTAAGGATGTCTTGACAGAGGCTTGGCGTGATTCGAATGGGGAGCCTTTCTCAGATAGACTGGCTGCTTGTGGGAAGAGACTGATGCGCTGGGGAGGGAATAAATTCCAACACTTTGGTAAAAGGCGTAAAGAACTGGAAAAACTGATTGGTGGTATAAGGGGGAAGCGTGATGACCAGAGTCTTTTAGATCTTAATCGTGCTGAAAAGGAGCTTGCCTGTTTAAGGGACCAAGAGGACCTATATTGGCGACAAAGGGCGAAGCAACACTGGCTTAATTCTGGTGATGCTAATACCCGGGTTTTTCACCAATATGCGTCTCACCGAAAGCGAAAGAATTTTATTCATGGGCTTAAGGGTTCGGATGGAGTCTGGCATGCTGGGAATTCCTTAAAAGCTTTGATTACAAAGTATTTTAAGGACATCTTTACGTCTAAGGGGGTTGCTGACTCCTTGTTTTTTGACTCCATTGTCCCGCGGGTTTCGAGAGAACAAAATGAAGGGTTGCTGGCTCAGTTTGGTGAGGAGGAAGTTAAGCAGGCTATTTTTTCAATGCACCCGGACAAAGCGCCTGGGCCTGATGGGATGAATCCTGCCTTTTTTCAGAAAAATTGGGGAGTGGTGGGCCAGGACCTGACAAGGGCTGTTCTAGAGTGTATTCGTCAAGTTTCGTTCCCTCCGGGAATGAATGATGCCACGCTGGTCCTTATTCCAAAGAAACAGGCGCCACAGGTTGTGGGCGATCTCCGTCCCATTGCGTTATGCAATATCACGTATAAGGTTGTGGCAAAAATGTTGGCAAACCGGTTGAAACCTATACTCCAGCAAATCATTTCTGAAAGTCAGTCCGCTTTCCTTCCGAGCCGTCTCATCTCAGATAATATTTTGTTGGCGGCCGAGATGGGGCATTTTCTGCGTAGGAAGAGGACAGGCTTGACGGGTTGGGTGGGCTTGAAGTTGGATATGGCTAAAGCTTATGATTGTATGGAGTGGCCATTTCTGCGAACTATGATGGGAAAACTTGGCTTTGATGAGGAATGGATCAACCTAGTTATGTTATGCGTCTCCACCGTTCGATATCA